AAAAAAAAAAAATTTATTTTACACGAGAGAAAATTTGCATGAAAATTTGTTGAATCAATTTAACCTTTAGTCTTTTGCAACATCTTTCTTCATCATTCTTTTAAGATAAAGCTTCTTTGTTTCAAAGCCATTTATGAGAAATATATATGTTAAATCGAAATTTTTTTAATCAAAAATGATCTTTACCAGATATTTCTTTTTTTTTTAATTTTATGAAAATCACGTCATGAATGAATGAATTCACGGATTTTATATTTGTCTAACAGGTTTTATTCAATTTTACATGTTTATAAATTTGTACGTTTGAATAGGGAATGTTGAGCGACGGGATTGAGGCAGGAATGATTGGAAGGTTGAGTGGAAAATAATTTGAGAACTTTCCATTTTGATATTTTGAACGATGGCAGTAATATTTCTTGCAATGATTTATATATTTGTCATAATTTGAATTGAAATTTTGCTCCAATTCTATAATTTTGAACTTTTGAAGTTTTTTAGGGTCAAATTATTCCTTGGCAATCATCTAAATGACTATTTCTCGCGTTCGCTTCTAAGTTTTGAATTGTTTCAAAGTCAAAACTATTTTGATATGCTAAAAGTTCAATTTATCCCACTATGAGAAAAAAAAAGCTTTTATTTGGGAATAATTACTCTTCCAATAATATTCCCCAAATTAAATTGATTTAAATTGAATTTCAATTTTTTCAACCATCACAGTATTTGCTTGAAATTTTTAAAATGCGCAACTTTATCAAGTCAATTTAACTTAAGATGAAGCCTTAGCACAAATAAAATTAAGAGGACTAATTCAATTCAGCTTAAGATGAAGCTTTGGCTCAAATAAAATTACGATGACCAAGTCACTTCAGCTTAAGATGAAGCCTTGGCTCGAATGAAGTTAAGAGGACGCAGTCAATTTGGCTCAAACAAAAGTAGAACGATTATTAGATGTCTTTAGACAAAGAAGTTTCGAAACTAAGCTATTGATGATCTATTTCTTTATTCTAATCCATAAGTAAATTGATACTTTGGTTCCTATAAACTTTTTTAAAATTCAAATTAAAAATTAATTTCTAGGATGCCATATCACGAAGTCTTCACGAACTTGCATCAGTAACTGTTAAAAACGACGATAAACAGATCAAATTTCTCAGACGGTTTGGTTTCTTTTCCTTTTTTTTCGTGAAATTAAATTCATTATAGTGAAATTTCTGCGTTTGTTCAAATAGTCACAACTAAAAGAAATGTTTTTGTTTTTTAAATTTTTCAAATCTCATTCTTTGCTAATTTGTGTCGGATAAAATATTGCAAATTCAGCAAAATGCATGCATCAAATATTCATTTCAAAGAATTTGCATAAATAAAAGTATAATATTGTCTGAATGAAATTGCCCGTGGGAATTATTAAAGTTATAATAGGTCACCCTGTATGTATCAGATGATATAATGGTATTGGAAGAAAATTGGTTAGAATAAAGTTGCCTCGGTTAAAACTGTTTATCGGTCATTTTTCTTTATGTTTTTAAGGCGCTTTTATCTAATTTACATTTATTTCCTTCATTTCTTATATTAGGTCATTCATCTGCAGTTATTGCAGGCTTTAAAATGCTTTCCAGGCCCTCAGGGAATTTCATTAGGATTTGTGGAGACTCGTTGGGCTAAAGATTTTTCACATTAAAGAACTTTTCAAATATTTGATGTACGTGAAAATCAGTCAAATTCATGTCATTTTTCATCAAAATGAATGCGAAACTCTGATTTAAGAGCTTTTTTTTCTGTTTTAGAAAAAGTCGAAAATTTAAAATGATTGATTTTTTTTCCTGAAGGAAGTAGTTTCATTTTTTTTTCTTGAAAAAAAAAGATTTGAAAATATTTAAAAAAAACACAATACTTCTAATTTGGATATACAATTTGAATGTAAATAAAATAAATTAAAATTTTGTGAAAAATTTTACGTGACACATTTGAAAATTCAATTTTACAGCTCTTCTGTAAATGTATCGCATTGTTCATTAGTGAATTAATTTGTATATTCATGAAGAGGCTTGAACTGTCGTTAAGTAATGGGAACGGATGATTGAATAAGCGGAAGAAGTGGCGGAAGAGAAAAGTGGAAAATGGACAAGGGAATATTGAAAGAGCTTTTCGTTAATTCTAAGAGAGGAGAGATTCTGAAATTAGTATTAATTGAAGATAAGGCAGTAATGAACTGTGTTCAAGCTTAATCAAAGATAGGCTATAGATAGTTTGTACCGCATTTTGTTTACATTTCATGCTATCATCATCACCACTTTATATCAACTTCTAATAACATATATATATATATATATGCTATTTCTTTTTTCTGACCTGAAATAATAATACTGGCAAAAAAACCTAGCAAAAAAGTGCCTGAAATAATACCTCTTAAAATAAATGATCCAAAACAATAAAATAAGTGACCTGAACTAATAGTACCTGACAAAACAAATAAATGTGTAACAAATATTCATGATACAATTTTTTTGTAATATTTATGGCACAATTTCAATTTCCGCGAAGTGCTTTCCTTTTTCTTCCCATTTGCAATAACATGTAATTAAATTATGCAAAATGGTCTGAAATTTTCAAAATATTTCCCTAAAAAAGCAATGAAATTATTTATTTTCAAAATAGAAATGACGTTTAAATAATGAAAAATATTTTTGTCATTATTAATAAATTCAATTCGGAAATCGATGATATTTCCATTTGTCATTAATTTCGTATTCATTTTACGCAATCAATCCGTTTTGACGTTTTTTGTTTCCGTTTTTTTTTTCGTTTTTTTTTTTTAGACAGCATCAATTAACATCGAATTTTCACTCATCGGCTGTTCATCGAAAGAATTCTTTTCCTGCTAAATTTACATCTCAACATGATATAGCGAATTCGCTTCAATCATTTTCATCAAATGACGATCGATCTGGTACGTTTAGATGTTAATTAATGCTTTTGAAGTAAATTTTAAAAATATTTTCAAGAAAGAAGCAATAATTTTTAGAATTTCATGAATAATTTAATAAGCATTAAAAGTGGTATGATGAATTATGAAAGTGGATTGCGAACTGATTCAAAAAATTTTTTCACCTTGGAATTCTTTTGATCTCAGCAAAATTTTGAGCATAACATTATCAAATTATTAATTATATTAAAATTTTGCATGAAACAAAAGAATTCCGACATGTGAAAAAAAGATTTTTCAAATTGATATTACACTGCGTGCTTTATTTATGGTTTGATATAATATCTTCTTTAACATAATTAATTAATTTAAAATTCTAGCTTAGAAATTATGAATTAGAATTTAGAGAGAGTTTTGTTTGATGATTTCTTTCGGAATTCTTTTTAACAAAAAAAAATTTCCTAAAATGGAATTTACATGAAATCATCAAATTTTAGAGTATGGAATAAAGAAAACCTTAAAAAAAAGAAAATTTAAAAATTTTAACGAAATATGAGGAATTTGTGAATGATATTATAGCAGACGCAGAATGTTACACATCATCACGTCGTAAACGTTTTACACGTCGTCAACGACGTATTTTAAGTGGTGGAATATTTGGCAAGCGTACATCGAGGTCAACATCAACTTTAAATAAAGTACATAGGTCAGAATCTACAACAAGTAGCAGCGATAACGATAATACTAATGAACGAAGAAAACGATCGGTAAATGCTATTTAAAAAAAGAAAAATACAATATTTTATATTCTAACATTAAAATGATCTATAAGAAATGAAACGACCAGAAGTGGACAATACCTGTGGCAGTAATATTTCAAAAAATTGCACTTTACTTCATTCATTTGTTTATTCTGAAATATTTAAAATTGTTTGATTTCAATAAAATTGTCTACAAAATATTAGCACATTCCTCGGTTTTTTTTTTTAAACATTTTGTACAATATTTTATTTATACACTTAATGGATAATATATTACAGTGTGACCTTTTTTAATTCACACTAACGAATATAATATGAAATTTCAAGAATGTTTGTTTGTTTGTTTTTTGTTTCTCAATTTCCTAAAACACTTTAATTTGCAAGTACAATAATCATTGAAAAAAAAAATTTAATACGTTAATATATGATTTTATTTGTAGTACTTTTTTTTTGAAAATTTGTTAAAATTTACATGTAATTTTTTGTACAAACGCAAAGAATGTTTGTTTGTTTTTTGTTTCTCAATTTCCTAGAAGACTTTAATTCGCAAATACAGTAATCAGTGAAAAAAATACTTACTACATTGATATATGATTTTATTTGTACTACTTTTTTTTGAAAATTTTTTAAAATTGTAATTTTTTTTTTGTGCAGACTCAATTAACGACAATAGAAAGGAAGAGAGGTCAATCAACAGCTGCACGAAACGCAATAATACCAACGGAATCAGCGTTTCTTTCATTGAGGCGAAATTATGTTAATTCCAGTTTGGTTACCCGATCGACAACAGAAATTTGCTACAAATCATCAACTTCAACATCGACAACATTAGCATCGATTGAACCGGTTGATACATTCCAGAAATTTAAAGGTTTCTAATGCTAATATATTTTCCTGATGCGTTTTTGTTTTCGGGAATAACCAATTCCCATTCATCACTTTAATTGTAAATAATAATGCCTTACTTAAAATGTTCTATCGTTTATTTATTTATAAATAATGCCTTACTTAAATGTTCTATCGTATATTTAATTATAAATAATAATGCCTTACTTAAAATGTTTTATCGTTTTTTTTTTATTTATTTATAAATAACGCCTTACTTAAATGTTCTATCGTATATTTAATTACAAATAATAATGCCTTACTTAAAATGTTCTATCGTTTATTTTCATCTTTAACAAAAGCGGGCGACGGAAACGGCGGATGTACTACTTAAATATTCATTACCAATCGATGTCATCCATATCCATTCGAAATTTCCTTTTTTCAGGCTTTTAAATAACTGGCCCAATTATTCGTTTTTTGATACTTTATGCATTTTGTTAAATTTATACTATTAGCATTCACTTGTTTGTTAAATGTTGTTTAATTAAAAATTCACAAAAAATAATATAATATGTTTAATTATAATTATAATAATTAATATTTCGAGGAATGTTTAATTATAATTATAGTAATTAATATAAAATTCAAGGACCAGCAGCTCGAAAGACACATCGTCGTACACTTCGTTATAAATTAAATTCATCCGCTAACAATCAATTGGAGACAAAAGCTGGCTCACAAGCAAGGTAAAAAAATGTTACAGATTAGAAGAGAGCATTTACTGTAATTTTAAATTTCACAAATTATTTATTCTAATTTTGTCTTGTTTCTCTAATTAATGCTTTTTATTTATTATCAATTTTAATTAATCTTCATCATTTTTCTAATTTTATCCTATCCAGATTGGACATTCATGCTAAAATTACGCAGCCGGAAATAAATACGCGTGTTCGACGTTCCCTATCAGTTCGTGAATTGAACGGTGCAATGATCGATTTTACCAACCAGGATTCCGTCACCAGGTTACTTTTCGAAATTCACTCATAACTTTTCTCTTTCATTTCTTCAATTTTTCCATATTACAAATGCAATGGTCTTTTCATTCAATAATTTTGTTTTTTTTTAAATCCATATTATTATAATACGATTTCATTAATAAGGATAAAAATTTCATGCGATTACGTAATTATTGTTGAATTTCGAGTACTGTTTTATCTCGAATAACTTACAGTAATTTAGCAAGTAAACCATTTCATGCATGCATTTCTTGTTAATTAAATAAGGAAAATTTTTTCTATCCTTTTTTATGAAATAATTCACAAATTTTGACTCATCAAGTTTTTTTTATTTTATTCATTCTTCTGAGTTTCATCGAAAATATCTCAGAGAAATTTATAGTAACATGATAGATATTGATTAATATTGATCATTTCATACAGTACAAACTTTACTTCCCATATATGATATTTCTAATCTGCCGTAATTTTCTTTAATTTCTTTTCATTTATTCAAATTTAATCAGCCGATTGGGATATATAGACAGTTGTATTCACTGAAGTTTGAAGAGATCAGTTTAAAATTTTATTTCATTCATCTTATTTTTCGTTTTAAATCCTAAAATCAAACAAAATTAATTTAAATTTAATCTAATTCTATCTTTTTTAATTTCTTTTTTTTAAAAATTAATCGTTACTTTTTAATGCATGTGATAAATGTATATTTATGTTTTACAGGTGGACATCACAAATTCTTGCCGAAATAGATTCATTACCGTCAAGTAGTTTTGATTTAACCGGATATTCAGCTCAGCAATCAGCACCTTTTATCAGTGCTGCTACTTCTGTTGCCACTACTGATATTATTAGCCCGATTACTGATACTGATATAATATTTCCGGATAAATCAGAAAGCAGTCCTTTAAAGGTATTAGTACATTCATATGAATAATTAATCGATAGTAATCAATGAAAATAGATTTACATATTGTCAAATTATAACTGGTAATTAAAATTATCATTTCACATTTATAATTTTTTATTATCTAATTAGTGTTGAATGAAATTTGCTTAATGAAAAAAGTAAGCAAGAGATAAGAGAAGATAATGAATGAATTGTTTTTTTTCGTTATTTAATTTTCATCCATTTTAATTTAACTAAAATTCCAATTTCAGCAATATGTACAATCAACATCAAAAAATAATTCAAATATTTCATTTGAAATGGGTATAACGAATTCGTCATCATCAACGCAATTTCATAATAACGAACCGCAAATTCGTCATCAAACGACAAAAATCGCATCAAAATCCAGTTCCAGTCATTTCAGAAAATTTCAAAAACGAAATTCCTATAAAAAAGTATCTTTTCTTTTTCTATTTTCATCCATGATTAACGGAATAAATTTCTCTTCATGCAATCAAATCCATAAAAAAAGAGTTGCAATAAAAGTTATATCTCTCATTATTTACCACCATTGAATAAAACATTGCTTAATTTGAAAGTTTGAATTGAAATTTCATATAAACAAGCTTTGTACTCTAAAAAATTGATCGATGGATGAATGTTTTAGATTAAAATTATTTCAATTTCTCAATTTTATTCCCATTTGCCTTACATTTAGTAGCTAAATCATTTTTGCTTCAGTATAAAATATAATTCTTATCCGTCCGCTCTTTCCATCTCTCTTTGTCTCCTTCGTTTATTCTAATATTTTTCAATAAAAAAAGAAAAAAAAATTGATTACTCTTAATAAAAAACGAAAAGAATGGAAAGGGTTTGAATGAGGAAAAAATATAAAATTGAAAATAAACGACTTGAAAATTATCCTTTAGAATTTAACAAATACTTCTGCAAAGAAAAAATATTGGCTGAATGAAAAAACAACAAGTAATTCATGTAGCATTTGTTTAATTTGTTACGATAGGGAAGTAATTTTGTCCACAGATTTTCAATGATCAAATTTTATAGCAAAAATTGAGAGAGGAAGAGAGGGAAGGGAGAGAGGGAGAAAGGGGGAAAAAGGAAGAGAGAGAGAGAGATGAGAATTTCAAACAATTATGTGATTCATTTATTTACTTGATTATATCTAACTAGGCATTATCAAATGATTATTATCATTATCAATATTATCATATATCTAATCCTTTCTTTCATTTCTTCATTTTTTTCCATTTAGCTAATAATTTTTATTTTTTGCAGAAGTATTGGTTAAATTGGATTAATAACGAAAATACTATAATAATTTTAAGAATAAAATATTTACTGTCATTTTTACATGCCCAATTATTAAATAAGTTATTTGCTAAATTAGGACAGAATGAACACCTGTAACTTTTTGTATAATTGCAAACCTTTTGAGGATATTTGGCGTCAATCAACGGAGATTCCTGAAGTTTCCTGTACAGCAAACATTTTGCTGACAGCGCGACCGTCAAATCGTCGCAAACAATCAGCTCATGCAATTATTCTTAGCATGCCGAAAAATCCGGAAAAATTATCATCAAAAATTAATAGCATTAATTGTAGCTCAAATTTGCAAAATCAGAACAGTGAAAATAACAACAACGAAACGTCACGTTTATGGCGTTTTTTGTCCCGGAAGAAAAAGTACCCATCATTTAAAAAATACCTAAAATCACGTCAAAAAACTGCACCAAAAACTAAAATCGTTTCCGATGTTGAAATTTCGAGTTTTCACGCAAATAATTCATTCGCAACTGCAACGAATTGCAAAAATCACATTGCTGAATGTAATTCGACATCAAAATGGAGGAGGAATGATAAAATGGAAGTAAATAGTGCATTACCGATATCTAAAACGAATTTAGCATTAGCATTAAACATCAAATCATGCCGCCAACAAATAACAAAATTATCCCATGAACAATTAGCCGATTATCCCAGCTCAAATGGTGTGCAATGGCGGAGAAATATTGATGCGACAGTGAGTTTTCAATTTTGATTTTTACATTCCCATAAAACTTTTCATTCAAGAATTTCAACATTACTGTAACAATTACTGAATTATTTTAGGATAAGATAAGAAGATTAAGGTGATAAATAAAGTTTTTTTTTTGTCTTATCATTTTTGCGATATTCAGAACTATCACTATGGAGAAGTTTAAATAATAAGAAATGATACTGATAGATTAAGGAAGATGTTTGTTGTATTTGATAATCAGAGGAATTTTGTTTGCTTACTCTCATCGATTGTTTTTAAGACACAAATTTTTTTTGTGCAAACAATTAATTTTTTCTTTTTTTTTGTTCGTATAATTGACAAATGGTTTTTGATTTCTTAATTTTTTTTATTTTTCCATGCATTCATTCATTTTTCCATTTTAATAGAAATTTTAAATTTCAGACCAATCGTACATATTTCTCAATGGAAAGTATTGATTTGGTAAAAGAAAGCGGCGTTGACGAAAGATTAAAATTCTTGGGCGAAACAAAACAGATTCAACTTGCTGATCAGACACTGTCTCCACTTACCGTTTGGAAACGAAAGGTTGGTTAGTCATTTATATATATATATATATATAAATGTGTGTGTGTGTGTGTGTGTGTGTCTCATTCTTGTTTTAAAATTGCGGTGAACTTTTACTTTAACATTTGAAAATATCAAAGACTAGAATGAGAAAGGTAAGATAATAAAGGCCTTATTTAGACTTATTTCCTTTCCTCTAAGACGGTCAATCATTTATTGCAATATAGTAACTGACCACTTATGCTTACTGAAACGGAATAAGCATGCATTTCTGTTAGTTAATTTATCGCAAATATTTTTCAAACAATAATATTTGACCCTTTCTTCTTTGTCTTCCATAAATGAAAAATTTTTGAAATTTGTTGTCGTGAAAAATGATTTTAATTCGTTGCCTTTTAATTTTTATTTTTTGTTATTTACCAAATTTTTTCTTGTTCCTTTACATTTTATCTACAATTGTGATTTTGTCATGCCTATAACAACAGCTTGCATTTAAACTTAACTTTTCATTCTAACTCCTAAATAATATAATTAACAATTTGCGCAGATTGTTTTATCAAAAATTTCTCGAAATGTAATTTGGTCAATTGCTTTCAAAATATTTAATGCATAGTCAAAAGTTATTTTTCGTTTTTCTTTCAAATAAAAATTATATTTGAAATTTTAGAGAGAACAAGTTATAGAAGAAGGAAAAAAAAGGTCGAGAAGAAAGTTAAACTAATAATTTCGCGAGAATTTTTTACAAAAAAAAGCAGCGGAATGAAATGAATTTTTGCACTACATTATTCAAAGAATATGTTGGAGTATTTGCTTTCTAAAAATTTGCACATTTCATTAATTCATTTAATTTTTCAAATTTTATATACTTCACAATTTGTGCATTTTTTATTTTTTTGAAAACTGCCCTTAAAGAAGTACTTAAAATTTAAAATTTGCTGTTAAAAATTGAAAATGAAAGAGATGAATGTAAGCGGTTAATGTAAGAGTGACAGAATTTTCTCAATTTGTGCAGGAAGGTAATCCTGAACTATAATATAACTCTGGCAATGTTTGCTTCCGGAACACACCAATAATTAAGCACCAAAAAATGACTGGATTCAAATGGTCGCATATGCGTGTAACAATGCTTTTTGACCTTTCTTCGAGCTTCGCTTTTATTTAATGAATAAATTTTATGAGCACAAAATAATTTTTGGAAGGCAAATTTTATTAGCAATGATCAGTGTCGTATTTCGGTATTTACTGTAGCGCAGTTTATCTTCAGATATTGAAACGATAATCTCAAGAGCTGTTTGTTTTACTCTCCCATTCATCGCTACTTTTCTCCTGTGATTACATTAAGAAATCAAAGAGCATCATTTGTACAATGATCGTTTTCCATACTATCTAATCTGTTTTATTATTTCGAAAAGATTTCATTTTTTAAATAATTATTTTCGAATTAAAATTACAGCAGAATGATGAAAATAAACTATAAATTATTTTTATATCATTTTCATTACTCTGCTGCAATTTTAATTCGAAAATAATTATTGAATTCATACAAATATTCGAATTCTTTTTCCATTGTCCTTTTCTGTCCTTGACCAGTTTACCTGAGAGATTACCTGACAGTAACAAATTGAGAAAGTGATGTAACGTACATAGAAAGTGGAACAGATATCACTGTAGAATGCGATCCTTTTTCTTGTCAATTGTCGTCATTGTAATATCGACCCGCATTCATAAATTGCGGTGAAGGGAAGAAATAAAATGGTTAACATTTGACCTCATAAGTTTATTTTCACTCAGTCACGGTAAATGCTTCATTCTACACATTATTTCACTAAACTAATTAATAAAATTTAACAGGATCAGTCTTACTGAAAAAAAAAAAAACTAATTTGCAAATAAAAATCTTGAGAGTCATAGGAAGTTCACTTCAGAAATAAATTCCACACTACTAACACTGTCTCGCTTAATACATATTTAACAAAATCAAATTCTACGATGAAAAAAAAATTTGTCGAATTTATTTATATTTTATAATGAAATAAAAAGTGTTCAACTGTATGGGCAAAAAAAAACGAAAAACATAATGAATTATAGAAGGAAAATGTTAAAGTATAATAATGATAATACAGTATAATATGATAGTATAAATTTTTGTTATTAAGATTAGAAAACGAGAGAAAGAGAGAGGGAGAGAGAAAAAAGAGGGCAGTAAAAATAGGACAATTTCAAATTTCAGATTCTTTCAATTATTTTATTAATCTTACCTAATTACCTATTTTCCAATCTTCTTCCTATCTACTATCATTGTAATGTTTATGCTTGATAACACTTGAGATTATCATTATTACTATTATTATTATTATTATCGTTGTCTTATCCAGCGTTTATATTAACAATTTACCAATAGCTTAATTTTGCTGTAATTTAATTTTAATTTACTTTCATGTGTCTATCACAATTGTTTATTAGAAATGACAAAAACATTGTCCACTTTCATGCCTAAAATAACCGGAAAAATAAGTATGGATCATAAATGATAAGCTCATTGAAAAAATCTATACCTTGTTAATTACATAACTAATGAATTTCATGAAGTTTATTTTAAAAAAAGGAAAGAAAAAGAGAGAAAGAGAGAGAGAAGAAACAATCATTAAACTCACTAAAAATTAGTCATTAACACTAATTCAGGTTTTAACATCTATTTCTGTTTTCTTTTTGTGCGTTCATTTTAATTTCTATTTTCAGTAGAGAATTTGATCAATTAATTTAAAATTCTTACACATTACGAAATTTTACGCGTAATTCATAATCACCGTCTAAAGACAGCTGTTTACTGACGTCGTCTTCACCATCATCATCATCATCATCATCATCATCATCATGGAGTGAATTCAATTTTCACACTCTGTAATTTATGATTTTGCAAAATTTTTCACTTTTAATTTAGCTAAAGTTCATTTTGCTTTCATTCGTTATACTTTTTCTTCAATATTTCCATTAATAATTTTACTACTATTATATATTCCTTTAATTGTTAAATAACAGCTAGAATTATAATGTGAACTGTAGCGAAAATAGATTGCCTTGTTGGTATGTGTGTGT